CCTTGAGCTTCCTTCCGCAGGCTTCCTCCAAAACATTTTGTCCCAGTCGAGTTCTCAACCAGAAAGGTCAAAGGGCATCTTGCTAGAATCTCCTTTCTCTTAGCAGGAAACCAAAGTAGCTGAAAGTTAGCTGTGTTTGCCCAGATCAATGTTCATGTCCTGTGTGCAAGCACAGGTTCCCTTGCTTCTTGTCCTCAGAAGTCCGCTGCAGTCAGTTCCGGCAGATTCTGAGCAGCACACCAGCCTCTGCCAGACACTGCAGGAAGGACAGCTGGGCAATACCTGGCCTACGACCATGAGCTAGATGGTTTTGATCTTGCCTCAATCCCTCAAAATTGTGCCTAGTGTCTTTCAAAATCTTAAAGCAGGCTTCTCTTGAGTGCTAGGTTTTCGGTCTCTGCTTAAACATTTAACATACTTTAATCTAGATAAGTACTTTAGGCATTGCAAAGTCTGCAGCACTTCCAGGCTCACACAGCCTCTCCCTAATAGAAACTTTTAGAAATCCTAGCCAGGAAGTGGCCAAGGCTGAAGTACAAAGGAATTAGAAGAAAGGGCACCAGAGGCTTTGGGGATGGGGGAGGGGACGTGAATTTATTTCCTTCTGCTGCTGGAAAGTTTTCGTCAGTTCAAGTTGCAAACCAGGCAGAAATGTTCTTACAGGCTTTTACTTTTCTGTTGAAAAGTTGAAAAGTCGGGAGATTGCAGTTATTTAATTATAGTTTTAAATGGAAGGCATCTCTACCAGAACCCCATAGTGGCTGTTAAAAATGGATTCAGCTAATTATTTCCCAAAGAGCCACAGTCAGGCACCAAACGAGAGCCCACATCTCTGAGGGGCCTCCAAACCTCCAGAGAGGCTGGGCTTGGTTAGTCCCTGTGCCCACACTTGCTTTTCTGCCTTGTTTGTAATCCTCAGACATCTATGGACAACAAAAGAGCACACATACCGCACCCACAAAACAAAAATTATGAGGAACATTTTTAAGGATAAAAACACTACAAGCACACTTAAAAACCTTGGAAAAATACCAGCTAATATAAGGGGGAAATTCATATAGTCTATTAGGTATAGCCAACCAGAAATAAAACATTTCAACATTGATAAAACAAATCTGGGAGAATTTGTTTAACTTGAGAGTATATATTACATATAGTTTCGTCTTTTAACATTATATGGTGAGAATTTTCCATTTTTAACATTCTTTTATATTATGAATATTGAAGGCTTCATAATAACGTTGCACAGTATGGCTGCATCGTGATTTTCCCTGTGCCTTTCCCCCGCCCTCCTCCCTTCCTCCACCCACCCCTTCCTGCGTTTCTCCTCATTTCCTCTTTCTGTTTTTCCTTAGTCCTTTCCCTTCTTCCTCCCCTCCTTTCTTTCTGATTTCTTCTTTTATAGTCTAACCAAATTCATACATTCACACTATTTAAAATAGTCTGCAAGGCAGGAGAAACAGCAGTCCCCCACTGTATCTCCCACTTCCCAGTGGCAACCGTACATAATTCTTTTAGTGATTATTATGTGGTTCAATGCCTTATACTAAGTAATGCTTGTATTGTAAATTCTTGATTTTAAAAAAGGGTTTAGGCATTATCTATTGGCTTCCCAACATAGAACTCCCTCCCCCAACACACACACACACACCTCCTCTGCTACATCCTTCCATCCCAGTATCCCAGTGACTGTGATTAGATTAATATTCCGTGATTCAGTTATTGCAACCACGTAAATGCTGTTCACAACTGAGCCATGTCTTGTTTACAGTGACTTCAAGGCCTGCTCGGACCTTGCCTGCTTCTAGGGCATGACAAGTCAGGATGATGAGGAGGAGCATTACTTCCAGAAAGAATTCAGTAAGGATCTCACTGCAGGGAGAAACACGTGCTTCATCTGCAGAAGGGTGACTTTCAGCATTACCATGGGCTCTGCAATGATACTGCCATTCATATTCTACCGGACAGCCTTGACCATCAACAGGACCTTGACCGAGAAGGAAACACTGATGGTTAACCTGAGAAGAATCGCCAATAAACGGCAACCTGAAAATGCCTCAGACGCCGTGGGTTGGCAACCCCCTAGATTCATTCATGAACGGAACAGAAAAGGGTGGCCTACAGCGGCGGCTCTGAGAGTTCTGGGATGCTGCTGGACAGCCCGGTCACGGCCTCCGGCAGGTTTGTCCCTCTGCCTCCCTGGCAAAGAAAGTCCGCGAGGAAATGGTGGGGCCGGTGGGGCCCAGCACCCAGGAGAGCAGAAAGCCCTAGAAAGCGTCTATGGCAGGCCTCTGGGTTTCAGAGAAAGGACAGGGAGAGGCAGGCCAGGGTGGGGGGTATCCTCGTTTGGTGGTCACCAAGGGGAGGGAAACGAGGAGGCAGAGAAGCCCCAACTTGAAAGAGCTGGGGCTGGATGGCTAGGTTGGTCATTTTGCTGTCTTTTCCCCCCAGGTTTCAGTATTTTTCTCATCCAGATCTGGAAATCACTTTTCCTCTGTCATACAGATATTTTAACAAAACTCCTTTGAGGGAAAGCGCTTACCCTGGGACTTCGTAATCCTGGTTTCTCAGTTTGCTTCACCCAGACCCCGCACCCGCCCGCAGTACGGCTCCGTGGCCTGGCGCCCGTGGGACCCTCAGCGCTGCTGGGAACGAGTGACTAGGACACCACCGATGCCGGTCCCCGTTCCTCACTCCTCACACTCCAAAATACATTCCATGTAAACCAGGGTTTGACACGTTTAAACAATAGACATCATAAAATTAATGCAATGTTCTTGAGAGAATTGTTTTAATCATGGCGTCTGGAATTTGTACACATGAAGCCACAAAAGGTGTGAGACATTAATAAGTTTAGCTATATTAAAACATATAGTGCATAGAAAAGATGCATTTAGGATGTCCAAAAATAAATGACAAACTCAAAAACACTATTTCAACACATTACTGGGTAAAGATTCATTTAAACATATGAAACGATGGTCAGTGTTGCTCCTATTAAGAGCAAATAAAGCAAATTAACACCAAAAGGAAGACCAGCTCAGGTCAATAAGAAAACACCTTTCCTAAGAGTGCATACCCATCTTCGCCTCAGAGATTCCACTCTTATTCATTTATTCTGTATTTGCATATGCATGCAAGGGCAGACACATGGGTGTTTATGATCCTTGTTTATAATAACAAAGGACCGAAACAAGTGTCCCTCATTAAGGGACTCCTTCATTCAATTCTAGTATTTCATATATGGAGTAGCATGCAGCTATGTAAAAAAGAGGCTGTTCTAAATATAAAAATATAAAATACTACCTCTGAGATACATTAAAAAATTTCAAATGAAAGTGCAGGCTCTGACCAGTGTGGCTCAGCTGGCTGAGCATCAACCCCACAAAGCGAAAGGTCACCGGTTCAATTCCTGGTCTGGGAATATGCCTGGGTTGCAGAGTCAGTCTCCAGTCAGGGAGCTTACGAGGGGCAATCGATCTACATTTCTGTCTCGCGTTGATGTTTCTCTCTTTCTCCCTACCTTTCCCTCCCTCTAAAAGTAGATAAAATTAAAAATAATCATAATAAATAAAAGTGCAGAAGAGTGTGTACAGCATGCTGACGTTGTTCAAAGGAAGGAAGGAAGGAAAGGGAGGAGGGAGAAAGAAAAAAGAAAACACTTGTCGCAAGAATAGTTGGGAAAGGGGGTGCTGCCCCCGCGGTGGCCTCCGGACGGGGAAGCGTGCATACCCGGCTGGTCCCTGTTCCTGGGTCTCTCCCCATGCCTGATGTCTTCTACCACTACCCACTCGCCCCATCCTCCCCAAATATTTACAAAATGCCTCTTAACTCTTTTCACCGATCCACAATTGTATTCATCAAAACCGATTTTTGAAAATGTTACCACCTCCTGACATTTGCTCCATGGGTGAGGGAATTTACTTGTTACGCAGCAAACTGTTCTTGGGCTCCCAGTAGATGTTAATTAATGTGAAAAATGGGAGTATCACCGAGGTGAAAGGCACACGTGTTTTCACAGCTCACTCTGCAATATTGTGCTTCTGTTGACAGCACGGACACCCTTCCATTGTCCCATTTCCCAGGAACAGCTTCCTCCAGTCCCCCTGCTTTTTGGTTTTGGGTGGCTTTCCTCTGTCCTTAGATATGTGAAAGTTGAATCTTGTAATCAGATTGGAAATTCAGAAAGGCGGGGACTAGGGTTTTTATTTCATAGTGATACTTAACCTTTTCTGACATTGAGGGGCAATTTTAGCCTGAGTTGCTTGGCTGTGCCTAAGTTTGGGGGTCTCTGCCTGCAGCCCCTTAGTAAGTACACAAAAGGAGTCTGCCTGGAAACCGGGAAATATTCTAGAAGCTTTACTTCCAGAGACCTTGGTGAGGCAGCCGATGAGAGATGAGGAAATATTCTCACCACTAATTTAGAAAAAGAAACTCAGGAATCTATCTACAGGCAGAAAACACTTAATCTACACATTTGCTCTGAGTGGCCTTGCTGCTCCTGTTCCTTTATGTTGCCTTCTACATCCCTCTTTTACCTACCAATGCCTCTATGATAATTAACTTTTAAAACTCCTTTTATTCTCAGAATGTAATATTGGTAAATATTTGAGGTATTCCTTGGGGGCAGTCACGTTTTGAATAAATGTTCTCCTAAGGGCTACTATCGACCAAAGTTCTCTATGAAGTCAGTCTTGGAGAAAGTGTTATTCATTGTGGGTTTTCCTGCGCAAGGCAGGGAGAGAGCTGTACTTCTCCACAATCCTCTGCCCTTTTGTTAAGATAGACAGCTAAGCCTCTCCCAGCTGGGATCCTTACTTTTAGGTCTCACTCAAGAGTTACAAGTTCTAATTTACAAGTTCTATTTTTGTATAGAAACGTTTGTTAAATGGGCAAGGAATGCTGACCTTCTCTCTGACACACTGCATGGGAGGAGGGGAATCTGTGGGCTGGTTCTTCCTCAAGGTTCATTTCTCCTGAGAGCCCTGCCTATGTTACTTTCGGTTTCCATTTCCCTTTCCTAAAACCAGTTTCTGAAAAACAAAGCAAAGGAACCAGGGGCTGCTTTCGTGTGTGTATATATACAGGTTTCTTCAGCATTTCTCTGAGGCAGAAGAAGAAGATCTGAGGAGCAGAGGATCTGCAGAGCCCGAACTGCAGCCTTACAGACGGGAAGAAAAGTGCACAGCGACCATGAGGTAGGCATGCCCGGATCACGTCGAAAATGCTAATCTACCTTGTCATGGAATGCAAGTGCTGAGCAGACGTGCTCCTAAAAAGAAAGTTCCCGATTGCTTTGCTTTGGTGTGTGTTTCTAACCTTTACCATGCATCTGTCTATCTCGTAGCTTGCTGGCTTGTTTACTCTTAAGTCACTTTCTGCCTGACACCGCCAAGGGTGACTGGCACTGGGGAAGCTGAGAACTGAGTTCAGAAAGGAGCGAGGCAGGAAGGAAGTGGACAGGGAGAGACCGAATCAGGCAGCTTCTTCGCTTAAGGTGGATCTGGGGGAATTGCTTTTGGAGGCTCATTTTTGTTTCCTATTTGAAAGAACCAAGTGAGGGGCTTTTTAGCCCCACTAATAGGGTTCTTTTTATTGTTGTTTAAGTATTATTGTCTCCATTTTCACCCCACCACGCCCCACCCCACCTCCCACCCTCAAACCCACCCTGTTTGGCTTTGTCTGTGTGTCCTTCATATACGCTCCTTGATGACGACCCCTGTAATCCCCTATTATCCCTCTCCCCCCTCCTCGCCAGTGACTGTCAGAGTATTCTTTACTTCAATGTCTCTGGCTGTATTTTGCTTGTTTGTTTTGTTGACTAGTTTCCACTTACAGGTGAGATAATATGGCATTTCTCCTTCACCACCTGACCTGTTTCACTCAGCATAATGCTTCCCAGGTCCACGCGTGCTGTGGAGAAGGGTAGGAGTTCCTTCTTCCCTTCTTTCTTTCTGCTGTGCAGTGTTCCATTGTGTAAATGGGCCACACTTATTTAACAAATTAAGAGCAGCATTTAGCAGTATTTGGGGCATCTGAGCAGTGTTTAAAATGCACTCAGAGTAGTAGCCTACTTCATTAGAAGGTAGAATTTACTTTTTATGTGCTTATAGTTCATCTCAAATTTGCATTAGGGCTGACAAAATGTATTCACTCATTTAATAGAAGTTTAGTTTACTCCGGAATTCTACTGACTGGCTCAAGTCCTCTAATCTGAAGTATGGATTGGGGGTGATACTCTTACACTCCAGAAACAGATGTTTGCCGTGGGAGCCCACTGGGTTGGAAGGACGCTATCTTTTTACTCCAGTCTGAGGACAGGGTGACTACTCTGGATGCCTAAGCCTCAGTCCTGGAGCTGCAGGACCCAGGGACACCGGCCTCAGCACTTCCTTCCTGGAGAACATGTTGTCCTCCTCCTCTGAGTCTCCTGGTCTGTCTTCTGGAAAAACATTGTTTTCTGCTAATCTCCATGCATGCCTGATAGAAAAAATAAAATATATGAGACATGACAAGAGGTCTGTTTCTATGGTAACACAGAATCCTTAGAAACCCTACTCCTTTCATTTCAGCATGGTCTTCTCAAAGAATCTCCTTAGAATTTCAGCTTGGGCTTCTCATAGAATCTTTTTTCACGATAATACCGACCCACCAGTCTCTCTTCTAATTTTCTTTGATTGTTTAGCTATAGGCACTGTCACCAGGCGTTGTAGAGTTTAGTTTGCTAAAGATAGATTCCTGAGCTCACCCCTCCCCCCACCCCAGATTCTGATTTGATAGCTTTGGGACCAGGGCCAAGGGTGTGCCTTTCCCACAGGGCCTTCCTCGGTGGCGCTGTCACCGCACTCAGACACTGGGAGCAGCCATTAGTTCTGAGCCTGCTGAGCAAGAGTCACTGCGGCTTTTACCCAGACTAGAAGCCAGGCAAAAAAAATTGTTGCTGTGTAAGCAGGACTCTTAGAGGCATCAGGGGCAGAAGTCGCAAGTCTGTCTGGGAACAGCTTCTGCTTTACCAGTGGAAATAATAATCTATAACTACGCAGTGAAACTGGTTGCCCTTTGAATGGCTGCTCAAAGGGATTTTACTTAAGTGTACATATTAAATGTTTCTCTCTTGCAAATGCACAAGTGACTATATGCTTTGTTTGACATTATTTCAATTGTATTCTCTCTCTCTCTTATATAAAACAAGAAAGGAGCTAAAAAAACTCATGTGCTTAAAAAAGTCTTTCTGTAACCTCACCGAGAAGGTAGATGAGATTAGACATCCACTTTTCAAGGGGATGTTGCTGTTAGTACGGTGCGGACATGAAGCCAGTCTCTCTCCTGGGCTGTGCCCCTCCCCACCCCCAGACACATTACACAAGAGATGAGACAACCTGGCTCTTCACTAAGACCTGCCTGGGGCTTTCAAAGGACACAGTTTCCTTCCCTCAGTAGAAATTCCTTCCCACTTCCCTTCCTTTTTTTTTTTTTGTTTATTCTACCTGGGGTAGTTAAGTTTCCATTTTTTTAGACTTTTTAAAAGATGTTATTTATTTATCTTTAGAGGGGAAGGGAAGGAGAAAGGGAGAGAAATATCAATGTATGGTTGCCTCTTGTGAGTCCCCTGCTGGGAACTGGCCTGCAACCCAGGCATGTGCCCTGACCGGGAATCGAACTGCAGTTGTTTGGTTTGCAGGCCCGAGCTCAATCTACTGAGCTACACCAGCCAAGGCTTCGTTTCCATTGTTTTAAGTAACAGAATTTAAAGTTCGTGGAATGGTTCATAGGATGCCCCCGACTGCCCCCTGCACCGGGCCCACAGGACTATACCAATCCTGGGAAGACTAGAACAGGACACTGAGAAGCGTGGGGAGCCCAGACTGTCTGCTCCAAGTGCATCTGAGTCACTCTCCACAGCACATGGTACAGAATGGGGTCCCCGTCAGACCCCCAGCACACACAGCACTCATCTTAACATGCAAAACCTGCCTCTGGCTTCCTTGCTCTCTCTCAGATCCGATTCCAGCTTCCACTGGAGTCTGGGCAGACACCGTGGTCCACTCAAACTGTGGGGTGGAAGTGGGACATAAAAACACGAAAGATGAGGAGGAGAAGAAAACGGAGGGTTATCATCCATTTGGCAAATATTTCTAAAGTGATCCTACCACGTTATATGACTTCCCAGATTATCTATTGGTTCTCCACTTCAGAATCCATAATATTTAGAATATCAACTCCTGATAAAAGGGCCAATTAATGTATACCATAAAAACTTTTTTTAAGTGAGAAAAAGCATTTCAGGGACTCCAATGCATAGGCACTATAGAAAAACAATGTGGAGCTATTAATGAGTTTTAACCTACCCATCTCTGAAGTTACTCCAATAAGGTTTTTATTTGTCTGCTGTTTCTGTTTGGTTGGTTTTGTTTGTTTGTTTGTTTGTTTGTTTGTTTTGAGGACCAACACTACAGGGTATAGGAAGTCTTTCCAAGGGAGGTCACCCTTAGAGAAAAAGAGCATTTCTTATACGAAGTTAGCTTTCTTGTGAGCCTCCTCCTGCTGCCACACTTGTAACCCCTAGTTGTGAAAGCAAACCACAGGAGTAGAGAAATAAATTTCAGGACAAAAATGTTAACCAACAAATACAAAATTATTAATAAGTCAACTCAATGAGACATGTTAACAGAAATCAACAAAGTTGGGGGATTATATTTACTCTAAAATAAAAGTTTCAGATATCAATAACATGTGTAATATCAGTTAAGTTAGGATAATTCAAATGTGGAGAAATGAGTAGAAATTAAAATGGTTGAAATTAAGACTTAAATGGTTAAAATAGAAAAGTCCAAAAAATAAGACTATAGAATGTCAAAATAATAAAAAAGACAAAACCAATGTGATAAAAAGGTTTGGCTAAACAAAGAAAATCAGTTGAAGATGTATGAAAAGCTGGTATAATTGGACAGGAAATAGAAATTAATGGAGATTTTTAAAAAGACAAATTTAGGGGAACTAAGGAATTAAACATTTAGATATAAAGTGGAGTTGAATATCTTAGGGATAACAGAGATTAAAATCAGGATGGCAAAATACCACAAGAGAAAATTATAAATCTAAAATCTCAAAATGTCCATCTTTCTGCTTTTCCCTACAGCGAGGCCACTGAGAACTCCTTGAAGAGCAAACTACAGCTACTAAAATGCCATTTCACCTGGAACTCGTTAGGGGGAGAAAATTCCTTGGATGCTTTTGAAGACAGAGTGTGTTACCAGACTGAGTTTCAGAACAATGAATTCAAAGCAACACAGCACAACTTGCTGGCTTACATAAAACACCTGCGTGGGCAAAACGAGGCAGCTCTGGAATGCTTACAGAAAGCTGAAGAGTCAATCCAGCAAGCGCACGCCGACCAAGCAGAAATCCGAAGTCTGGTCACCTGGGGCAACTACGCCTGGGTCTACTACCACATGGGCAGGCTCTCAGAAGCTCAGGCTTACCTAGACAAGGTCAAACAGGTGTGCGAGAAGTATTCCAGCCCCTACAGAATGGAGAGTCCCGAGATGGATAGTGAGGAAGGATGGTCACGGTTAAAGTGTGGGGTAAAGCACACTGAAAGGGCAAAGGTGTGTTTTGAAAAGTGTCTGGAAAAGGACCCTGGGAACCCAGACTTCACCTCTGGACTGGCCATCTCGAGCTACCGGCTGGATAACTGGCCAGCGCCTCAGAATTCCTTTGATGCGCTGATGCAAGCCATTCATCTAAGTCCTGACAACCAGTATGTGAAAGTCCTCCTGGCTCTGAAATATCAAAAGATGAATGAGGAGGCTGAAGCAGAGAGGTTAGTTAAAGAAGCCGTGGAGAAAGCTCCATGTGCCATAGATGTGCTTCGCGGTGCAGCAATGCTGTATCGGAAAAAAAATGACCCAGACACAGCTATAAAACTGCTGAAAAAGGCTCTAGAATGCTCGCCAAACAATGCCTACCTGTATTGCCACATTGGGGTATGCTATAGGGCAAAAGTTCACGAGTATCATAATAAAAGCCAGAATGTAATATATAGGGAAAGAGAGGAGCTGCAGGAACTAATAGAGCAAGCTGTGTATCATTTGAAGAGAGCTGATGAGCTCAATGGAAATCTCAACAGTGTTTGCTCCTATCTTGCCTGCCTCTATGCACAGGCGGGTCAGTATGAAGAAGCTGAGTATTACTTCCAAAAAGAATTCAGCAAAGAGCTCACGTCTGGAGACAAGCAAATGCTCCATTTACGATATGGCAACTTTCAGTGGTTTCAAATGAAGTGTGAAGACAAGACCATCCACCATTTCATAGAGGGTGTGAAAATCAACCAGGACCCAAAGGCAACAGAAAAGATGAAATACAAACTGGGAAGTATTGCCAGAAGCAGGCTTTCTAAAAACAAATCAGACCCTGAAGCTTTGCATATCTTAGAATTTCTTGAGGAGTTTAATGGGAAAAGGCAGCCAGCGTATGAAAACTCTGAGAGGGGCTTGGACTCTGGACACCTTGTCCTTCAGCATCTTTAGTGGAGGAATGAGGAGTTGGGGCGTGGTGCCCATGGGTTACTCCTGGAAGGGAGCTGAAACCCTTCCTTCCAGTTCGTATCAAAATATGAATAAACTATTGGTGGGGCATAGACATAGGCTGAGAACCTGTCCGCAGCACTGGATTAGGGTTATGGAAGACCTCTGTTGGGCCAAGTGTTAACACTTGAATAGCTTAGAGAGCACCAGGAGAGGGGTCTAATGGGGGGAGAGTGAGGAGGGCCTATGGCTTGGTAAAGAGACTGTTTCCCAATTGAACGCTGTGGAGAAGTTTGTGCTCTGTGACATTCTTTCGGTCACCTTCTGAGGGGGGTTGCACTGGGTTTGTTCTGTAAGGAAGCCAGATTCCTCACATCTCTAACACTGGTCCATTCTTGCAATGCTTTTCCGTCACTGGAGTTTTCTGAGACTCTGTGTAGGAATGTGCTGTGTCCATCCAAAGGCTGGGGGACCAAAGCTTACAAAGGGCTGGGTGTCCTCTCTCTCACTTCTGCCTCTTTTCTCCTCCACCCTAGGCAACCCTCAATCTAGACTGCCCTACACAGCAGCGGTTCAATCATCCTATTAATGAGGTGGGAATATAATTTGAAAACCAGGGAGCAAAGAATAAGTTAAATCCAGGAGGGACATATCTCGGGGAAGCGATGGGGTCAATCAATCACAGGCCAGAGTTTCGGGTGGCACATGGGGAGATTTTGCCTCTATTATGCACTCCCAGTGATCATACAACAAGTGAAGAATAAAAGGGGGGGGGGGGTTTCTGACAATATGCTAAAAAACAAAATAATACATTTCTTTAAAACTTGTATGGGAAAATAAGTGTCTCACCCGTAGGGATAGAAACAGGGTAAGCAAAAGTGAGAGAGAGGAATGCTGGTTGTTATTGTAGATTGTAATCATATGGAGAAATTTTAATTTCCTTAGCCACTATTAGAAAAATTTCTTCGCAGGACGAAGGCTTGCTTTGTCAAAAGGAAATGTTCTGGTGAGCCCGGGTTCAAGATGACAGGAAAGCAACAAAACAGGGAACCGTTTTGCAGCTGAGGACCTCGTGAAAAGTCTTGGAAAATGACATCAAAACTGGAGGGTTTCCCCACTGTTAGAAATATTGTATATTTGGTGATACAAAACTTTTATGAACCCTGAAAATTTTTATGAAAATTCCCAAATTAATGGTATGTTTGGAGTGATTGGGATTTTCTAGGTAGATACTGAATAGCCTGGGACTCTGTCAAAGTTGGTGTGACTCAAAACATACCTGACCCAGCACAAAACCATCAATTACCTTCTGGTTGCAAAATGTTTGTCTGTTGGAATTAGTTTACGCTTAAGTGGTTGTTCCCTGGGGCTGGGAGAGGAGGGATAGAAGAGATTTTAAGGGTGCAAATTTGTAACCAGTAGAGAGAGGAGGGCTGGAGTCCTAATGCACAAACAGTGAATATATGCTCCAAACCTTAGTTATCCACCACAAAAAAGAAATAAGTATATGGTATGAAAGAGGTGATAATTGTCAAACAATGGCTTTCCTACTATAATATGTAAATGTGTCAAATCAGCATGCCATATACCTTAAATTGGTTATGTTATATGTCCAATATGTTTTGATAAACTTAAGTATATACTAACATTTTTATTAAGCAATTAAAACAGTAAATGAAATTCAAGGTTTTTAAATAAAAATGCCAACTACTGTAACAATGGCTTTTGTGTTATTTTCTGTATCAAAAATAACGTGCGTGTTCTGACACCATCAAGATGCATAGTATGGATTCCTGAAAAAAACCCATAGATTTAATTAATAAGTAATTTAGATGTGATGGAACATAAAGGGGTGTCCTGGGTTTTTCTGAAATGTTGATGGACCTCACTTCTAGCCTCTGCTACAGATAAATAAGATGTCACACAGGTATGAACTGGTTCCAGTAACCCAGGCTGGTCTAACTTCACTGCCACAGTGTAGAACAAACGATTTTTCCCTACAGCTTTCTGAAGAGTCCAGACTTCTGCTTACACTCTGACGGGAGTCGCCACCGGGTACCTTCATGCTCACAGGCACCCTGCCCCCAGGCTGACAGAGGGGGTGCTGCCCTCCTCCTCTCTGTTCAATCTGGTCAGCATCTGCTTCCACCCACATTCTCTCTTTTCTTCTGACCTCCATTATGAGAAATGAATGAGGTGCCCACATTCTATGTTAAGCCCCATCCTGGAGGCAGTCAGAGACACACCTACAGAACAGTTTTTCCTGATAAGTACAGAATAGAGAGAGACATGAAGCCCTTAAGTCTCTCTTGTTTCTTTAAGATTCCTCTGGTAGGAAACATGATCCATGACAGTTGCAAAGGTAAACTCATTCCATGGACTGAATTAGACAAGTGCACATCTCAGGGGGAGGGTTTAGCTCACTTTGCCTGAGTAACTTAGTGGATATGGAGCCTGGGGAGGGAAGCTGGCCATGTCCTGAGTTGCAGGTAAGATGGGCAGGTATGCTGACCTTGAGTAAAGACCACTGGCCCCTGTCCTGTGCTGAAGAGGGCACGTCAGGGGTCTGCAATCTTGCTCGTGCATGTCATACCAGCAGGAACAGAAACCTAAAAAAAAAAGGTGGAAGGGAGCAAGAGTAGGAAAGAGGCATACAACATATTACACTTAATATTTATTTGAGGACTTAAAGCTAATAGAGGTGATTGGAAAACAATAAAGCAAGTCGGGGATATAGCTATTTTTCCTGAAATGTCAATATCCAGGGAACAAATGGAACCACATTAACTGGAATGACTTGTAATTCCCTGGCTCTTAATCGTGTCTCCTAGTGCGAGACAGAAGACTCCTCTCATGTGCTCACCCTGGTACATAACATGCCCCAGTAGGTGTCTCGTAAGCCTTGATGAGCTAGTCTGTCAGATTTATCTCATTATTTCAGCACCCACAGCCATCAATGCCCCCTGCTCAGGAAAGGGCTTCAATCCGTCTCATCATTCTCCGTATTTGATTTTCACCTTGGCAGCACTCACATCCATGACAAAGATGCTCTTAAGTGTGACCACACCCATGAAAGTGAGGAGGACCTCTCGTGTTCTTGTCTGGGTTCCAAGTCATACTAATTGCTCCTCATCCTCCGAGTCCTCAGTGAAAGATTGGTCAGCCTCTGCTTGCAGGCACTTTTCCCCTAGAGCTCAGACACAGCCCCCTGAGTTATCTCTCCTCTGTCTCACCCTGACGTGTTTGGAGATGTGTTTGGATCCCTACTGTGTGCACAATCAACCTTGGATTTCAACCCAGGAAATGTGGGTTCCAAGTAGAGACCATAAGCTCCCGTATCCTCCTGCCCTCCCTTCACCATTTTCCCACCCTTTATTTTGGGGGAAAGGAAGTAACTTGGTTTGATGAATTAGAAATTTTCCATATGATTTATAGCACAACTGTCTCATTGCTGGTAATCTACACCTTCTTGGGAGGCTGTAAGGAGGGAAATCCTTAATGAGTAAAATTCTTAATGTCAAATGGTGCAGCAACTTTGGAAAACAGTTTGGCAGCTTCTGAAACTGTTAAACAAAGCATTACCATACAACCCAGCAATTCCATCCCTAGGTATATATCCAAGAAAAATGAAAACATAAATTCACGTAAACTTGTGCATGAATGTTCATAGTAGCATCATTCATTATAACCAAAAAGTGATTCCATCAACTGATGAACTAGATATTTAAAAAGATACAGTATATCCATACAGTGGGATGTTACTTGGCAATAAAAACCAAGTACTTACTCATACATGCTACAATGTAGATGAACCTTGAAAACATTACACCAAGTGAAAGAAGCCAGTCACAAGATGTCACATACTGTATAATTATTTTTAAAAGCTTTGATTTATTTATTCTTAGACAGAGGGGAAGGGAGGTAGGAAAAGAGAGAGAGAAACATCGATGTGAAAGAGAAACATCAATCACTTGCCTCTTGCATGCACCCTGACTAGGACTAAATCTGCAACCCAGGCATGTGCCCTGACTGGGAATCAAACCAGTGACCTTTCACTTTGTGGGAGGACACCCAACCAACTGAGCCACACCGGCCAGGGCCAGTATGATTCTTTTAAAATGAAATATCCAGAGTAGGCAAATATAGAGCCAAAAAGTAGATTAGTGGTTGCCTAGAGCTTGGCGGGACAGTAAGATTGGAGGTTATGACAAATGGGGTGTGGAGTTTTTGCGGGGGTTAATGAGAATATTCTAAAATTGACTGCGATAATGGTTGCACAGCTCGGTGAAATGCTTACACTACAACTGGATGCTAAATGGGTGAATTGCATGGTGTGTGAATTACATTTTAATATAACTGTGAAAAAAGAATGAGTACTAATATTTAAAATGTATATAAAGAAAGCAAGCTTCACCCTGGGTGGTGTAGCTCAGTGGATTGAGCACGGGCGCCACGCCATCTTCCAACCACGCTGTCTGACAAGGTCCGGGCGTGGAGGAGTCGAGTTCAAGGAATTTGTCTCCTCGGAGGAGAACATGGCATCCAAAATGCTTAACAACTGGCTGTTTTATTTTAATTATTTTACTCTTGCTACTGAATATAGACACTATACTATACTTACTTATTCCCATGAAAACCACCCAAGAGGAAGGGACAGTTCAGGGGAAAACGTTAGTATTCCCCACGGAACTGCCTGAAAAGATGGAAAAATCCCCACAGACTCCCCTCTCCCTTATACAGGGGAGTACAACAGCCAGGGTGATATAATTGTTAACCGTAAGGGAAAACATGCCAAGTTGTATAAATTACCCTGGTTTGAGCAACTTAAAGCTATCAGGACTGCCATGGTGTACCAGAAATAAGAAAAACAAGTTAGATCTCTTAAATCAACAGTTAAGGCCAGCTAATAAAGAACCAGGTTATTGTTGCAAACACAGGTTGTGCTGCCAACAGTTGAGGGAATGGAAGAACAGATTAGAAAGACTTTCCCACACCTGTTCCTTATCCACAGATACAAAGGGTCTTCCAAGAAGACAAGTAAAAACTATATAGACCCCTACCCACAGCCCAGGGATATGGTCAGGACGGTTGAGATGCATCTGCAGGGCAGAGGCAACTGTGGCTGGATTTCCTGTCTATCTCTCCTTACATGTTTGTTTGGGTGATCAAAAGGTGGTGGGATTGTTAGACATTTGTATTTCAGGTTCATTGATTCGCATAATTCCAATGAAGTTGTACAAAATAATTTCTTGACCAGAGAACAAAATCCCCTCAAATGAAATAGCCCCTGAATGTCTAAAAGTTGTTGTAGTAACAGCCCCTCCTTTACCCTGAACAAGAATATATATTAATTAGAATTAAGCAGGCAAAGAAACAGGAAAAAAGCTTGTTAGATATCACAAACTAAACACGTAGAAACAATTACCAAGGAGCTAGAGTCCATAGTACATAGAGAAACATTTTGGACAGAAAGATAGATAGCTAAGCTAGACATCACAAAGGCCTTATAATGAATTTCCTAACCTCTGCTTGGTCTAGCGTACCTTTTGCCCCATGCCAAATTCTAAGACCTTTAATAAACAATAAGACATTCAAACTCTGTACATAGAGCTATTTCAAATTATCTGATTAATGGCTCTCCTGGTCAAAACAACTTTTGTTTAATATAACTGAAACTATGGAAATTCTTGTACTTTTCCTGGTTACCTTTGTATTGATTTTTTTTTTTTTGCTTAACTGATTGATCATGCTGTGCTGCAAATGCTAATCACTACCTAAAATGAAAATATAAAAACCTGCTTGTACTTGCAATAAACAGAACAGAGCTTCACTGTCCTTTGAGGTGTGTTGTCGTCTGTTACCCTGCTGCGGCTGGTCCATGGCATGCGGGCCTGCGAACCAAAGGATCGCAGTTTGATTCCCAGTCAGGGCACATGCCTGGGTTGCAGGCCAGTCCCCAGCAGGGGACCCACGAGAGGCAGCCATACATTGATATTTCTCTCCTTCTCTCCTTCCATTCCCCTCTACAGATAAATAAATAAAATATTTTTTAAAAGAAAGCAAGCTTTTTAAATCACCTTATATTTTTTTAATTTTGTTTATTTTTAGACAGAGGGAAAGAGGAAGAGAGGAACATCAGTGTGTGGTTGCTTCTCACATGCCCCCTACTGAGGACCTGCACCACACCCCAGGCATGATTTCCTGACTGGGAATTAAACCAGTGACCCTTTGGTTCCCAGGCCAGCACTCAGTCCACTGAGCCACACCAGCCAAATGCAATCATTGCTTTCTATTTTTAACCTCTAAGTTTGTTTGCATTGTTTCGTGCCTATATAAATTCTTTAAGGCAGTTAAGGGAGAGGTAAAAATTTTCCTTGAGTTTGCTGGGTCTTGACTGTCTCCAGCTTAAAATAGTCCCTGTGCCAAAGTGGCACATTCTGGGGATGTTCATTCTGAGCCATTTCAGAAACGTTATAAAAATGAAAACAATCTCCTAGAGCAATGTTACTCCTTCAGAGCTCAAAGCATAAATATAGGTATGTAAACTTATCAGCTAGCTAGCCAGCCATTAAACAATATTACATGTTACTATTTCCCATTTTACAGCTGGGAAAACGAAATGTTTGCCTCAGGTTACTCAGGAAGTGAGACTGCT